AGAAATTACAATAAAATAAAATTAAGATTTAAATGAAATTTTATTTGAAGTGAAAAACAGATTAAATTCAAAAAAAACACAGTAAAATAATAAGATTTAAAATAGTAATCTAAAAATGAAAGTTAATAGAATCAGATTCCATAAATATAAAATGAATAATTTAAAAATTTAAGAAAAATTTCTTAGAATCTTTCATATGATAAAAAATGATAAAAATAATAAGTTAAGCTACAGTAGTAAATATGATAAAAAAAAACAAAGTAAAAATAATATTAATAATAATAATAAAAAAAATAAAAATAATAATAAAATGAACGATTTTTTTTTATTTAATAATAAAAAATGCTAGAATTTATTTATTTTATCTTTTTAATTATAAAAATTAATATTTAAAAACAAATATTATGGCTTTAGATAAATAATCAATTATTATGAAAAATTAAAATAAAAAATAATTCCCTTTACAAATAAAATTAATAAAATCATTTTTTAGGATAGTTTTTTGAAAATTAAATTTTAGCCTAAAATTTTTAAAATTATAAATATTTATAATTACTTTCATAAAAAAAATGTTTTTTATAAATTTGTGAAAAATTATTAATTTTAGTTTAAAATGGACTTATTTATATAAAAAATTTCTAATGTTTTAGAAATTAAATTTAAAAAAAATTAATAATAAGTTTTTTTAAATCTTTAAAGAATAAAAATTTCATAAAATATTGAATAATTTTAAGTATTTGAATCTCCAAATAATGATATTGAATATGAAGAATAATATAGGCAGTAAAATGGTATTTATATATCTATAATATTTAATTATAATTTTTAAGTATTTTATTTATTGAAAAAAAAAAAGTAATGTGTATTTCATAACCATAATAATATTATGAAAAAAATAATTATAATTAGAAAAATATTTTTAATATAAGTTTAAGTCAAAAAAGTATAAATTATGATTAAAATTAACAAATTAATTAGTAATTTAATTATGATAATTTTTAATTTGAATTTTCAAGCAAATATAAGTAGAGTAATAATGCAAATAGTAGTAGATAGGGTAATTCTTATAAAAAACAAGACTGTTAATATGCCTTCATACCAGGATAGTATTATGGAAAAAACGAATAAAGTAATTTCATTAAAAAAGCAAGTCTTAACGAAATGAATAAATAAAATAGTTGGAAAGATAATGAGAAAGCTTAACATTTTCCTGCTTTTTGTAAAGTTATTTAAGCTTAAAAAAATTATATTGCAAATTAATTTAAAAAATAAATTAATAATAAATCGAAAAATTGAAAAAATTTAAATAATTAATATATTTTGAGTTAAACATAATATATTTATAATGATTATTTTGCAAATTTTTTTTATTTTCAATTAAGATAATATTATTATTTTATTAATTATTAGTATTTTAATTTTATTATATTTTATTAAAATAAAATTATTATTATATTTCGATAAAAATACGAATAAATAATTAAAATTAAAAAAAATATATAAGTTCTTAATAATTCGATTAAATGTCTTGGTAATAATCTTCAAATAAAAATAATTTTTACAAAACCTAATAAATATCAAATAATGAATAAAATCAAAAGTTAAAACAGGAATTTTTAGTTTAAAAAAAAGAATAATAAATTAATTCTTTTTATATAGAAAATAAAGAAAATCATAATAAAATTGTATTATAGGAAAGAAAGTATTAAAAAGATTTATTAAAAAACATATAGTTATTAAGAAATCGTGTAAATTTATTAGAAAAAGAATAGGCATAATTACTAAATAAAGTATAATATACATAAATTTAAACACATTAAATTATAAGAAATAAAACAGCTTATTAAAGTCGATAGAATTTTAAAGAAATATAAAAAATTAATAGATAAGAAGAAATAGATAAAAGAAAACAAGAAATTTAATAAATTAGAGACATGTAAAAATAAAAAAATGCTCTTATTAAATTAAGTAAATAACAGTAAGTCAGTTTTAATGTAAGGAAAGTTAAAAATTTAAAATATTAGCTTTAGAATGTTTAATAATTTTTTTTATAATAAACATTATAAAAAAATAATTAAATTTTTTGTAAAATTAAATAATAACATAAAATTTAAGAAATTAAAAAACACAAATTGATTTAAGATAGGAAATAGTTAGCTATTAATTTATATAATTAAAAATGTTAATAAGAAATAGTGAAAAAATAAAAATAAGAATTATTATATAAAGAGTTAGAAAAAAAAGAATAATAATTAATTCAATAATTATAAATTTCATAAAAAAATCAAGAATAAGCATTATTAGAGTTAGAAAATATATAAGCAACTAAACCATAATAACTATTGGAAAAAAGAGAATTTTAAATTAAAGATTGTTAAGTGAATGCTTATTTTCTTGATTATTGAAAATATTAATTATATATATATATATATATATATATATTTATATATATAAATATATATTATTTATTTATTTTTAAGGTTGAAAGTATTTATTTATATTATTTTTATTTTTTTAACAATTATAAAAATTAATTTATTTTAAACAATATTTATAAAAACGATTTCATTTATTCATAAAGTTTCTCCCTCTTATTTGGTTAAAAAATAAGTTCCTTCTCCTTCTAATCTATAATCTAAATGTTTTTTATTTAATTTTATTTTATATTGTATTTTTATATTGATTTAATTAATTTTTTTTACTTATTGGTAAAATCCAAATAAGAGGATTTTTTCCAAGAATTTATTTAAAGTTTTCTAATAATCCTAAATCGTATTTCTTTTTTAATACAAATAAAATATACATAAATATTAATTAATTATTAATAAAATATAACAAATTTACGTTTTCATCTTTTTTTTTTTCACTTAATTCAATAGTAGTTTTATTACTTGCAATCAATCTTTAATAAAAAATTTAAATAAAATAAAAATATATAATTTTAATTATATTTTTGTATACATAATATGAAAAGAAAATAAGAATGTTACAATACATAATATTAGAAATGAAAAATAAAAAGTCAAAGCAACCAAAAATACATAAGCAATTGATATAGAATTTGTAACAAGACAATCAAGATAACAATTAAAATAATTTATAAATACAAAAACTATAACTAGAACTATGTTAAACAAAAAAATTAAATAAATAAAAAAAAATATTAAAATATAATATAACTATATATACATGCATAAAAAATCATACAAAAGAAATATTTATAATTATAAAAACCAATACAATTATCTACCCATTAACAATGATGATCCATTTTTAGTATACAAGCTTTACATTAAGAACAATGATGTGTTCTAGGAGGTTTCATAATACTTTTTTTTTATTTAAATCTATTAATTATAATACTATATATTACTTAATGCATTTTTTACATTATCTATATTAACGAGCTTATATTTGTTATTATACATGTATTTAATATAATTGATCTAAAAGTCGTTAGAATTCTTCTTAATCATTTATTTCTATGTTTTCTTTATTCGATAAATTACTCATATTAAAATTTTTAGATACCAAATTATTTTATTCAGATATTTCATCATAATATACATCACTAATACTTCTATTATTATCTTTAAATATTTTCTATTGTTAATTATTATTTTGTTACTTATATACTATTATTTAATTACATCTTCATTATCTGTAATTTTATTTTTATCTTAATTTATGTTAAATTATTCATTATCATTTTAAATTAAAGCGAAATCTTATTATGAGCTTAATTTTAGTGTACCTTTTTATTTAATATATTTGCTGTTTTTAATCCATATAAATAAAAATAAATTAATAAATATTTACTTCTTTAAAATTATATGTATGTATTCAAGTATTATTCTTTGATTGAAGAATATATTTAATATTATTTTTATTTAAGAATTGTTTAAAATTATTCGATTTCTTAATTCCATTATTTGCACTATTATGTATAAATTTAATTTTTTTAAAAAATAAAAAACAAAATAACATCGTTCATTCCCCCAGGATTACTGAAAGTCGTCTAATACATTGACCAAAGTAAAAAAAATAATAAAATATGAAAAGATATACAAATTATAAGCCCTTTAGTTTTATTATCTTATGCTTATGTAAACTAAAAATATTTTGATATTTCTAAAATATTCATTTCTATTATGTTTTAACTATCAAAGTTATCTTAGAAATTTTTTAAATAATACGCATTAAGCATTAAAGGAATAACATATGTCTTTATGTAAAAAAAATAATTTTTTATTAATAATTCAAAATATCTTTTTTATTATATATATTAATTTTTTTCTCTTACAAATTAAAATGAAAAATATATAAAAATTATGATTGCAATCAATACAAATTGAGGGATTTTGGAACATATTTTATAATAATGCAAATTAGAATAATATTTTTAAAGTCCTTCTTTCTCATTCATAATATTGATTGAAATTAGTTTTTAAATAAATAAAAAAATTATTTTATTAATTTTTTTTTTTTTGGATTTACATTTAATATATTTACGTTTTGTAAAGACAATATTTTTTCTTATTTTTTTAGAATAAAATATTATGAATAATTTATCGTTTTAAAATTTTCAATTTAAATAGTTTTTTAAAAAATCAAAACAAATATTTCGGATAGTAAAATAAATTTTTGTTGTTATTTAAAAAAATGGAATTGAAGACATAAAATAATATAATTCTTGCTTTAAAAGGTATTTAATAAATTAATTTTTAAAACAAAAATTATTTTTGATTAAGTACTAAATAGGTAACAAAAATAAAAATTCATAAAATTATATTATTAATTTATTTAAAATATTATTATTTTTTTTAAATAAAAAGAAAATTTATATCTATTTTTAATTTGAATAATTATCCTTTTACTAATTTATATATATAAATATGAATTTAAATTACAATTTTATATTATTTTGATATTTATTGTTTAATACGATTATAAAAACTAAATATATAATTAATTTTTTTAAAAAAATTATGATCAATAAACTACCTAGCATTCTTCAACTAAGTATAAATTAGTTATATTATTTAATAAATCTTATGGACATAAAGGGAATGAAACATAAAGATACATTTAGCAAATACTATTTAACCTTTATTTATTGTCTAAAGTATTTTTTTACCCTTATTATCCACTTAAAGTTGTTAATTTATCGAAAAACTTTTTAATAAGTAAAAGATCATGCTTAAAAGGTACGTTAAGGAATGTATTTAATTTCATAATTTTTTCTAAAATAAATTATTTAAAAAAGAAAATAAATAAAAATCAATAATTTAAATAGAAATATTTAATATTTACATAAAGATTAGAACTCTTCCAAATCTACTTTATCCAATTAAAAGTTTTCAGGGCATGTAAAATAATTGCTTATTAAATATTTTAATTTTTAATCCTTTTATTATTATTAATTTAATATTTTTATTTTTTTATAAAATAAATATAATTAATAATAAATAACCTTATTATTCATAATTTATTCAATAAACTTTTATTAAATTCTATATCTTAACAAATTCATTTTCTAAGAATTAAACAATTAACTATTTTCTAATCCCATATTTTTCATTTGATTATGATTTTCATAAAATTTATTAGAATATTCAAATTTTATAAATAGTTGCAATCCATATTAATTAAAGAAGAGCTATTCTTGAGCAAATGTAATTAAGATTCTATTAACTCTAATCTATCTTCTTAAATACAAGTATGAATTAATTAATCAATAGACTCCAAGCTTTCATTATAAGGGCAATTATTGCTTTCTTCTACTAAAATAAAGGAATTAATTTATTCGGAAAAAGACTCTAAAGAGTCAAAATGTTTAAAAAGAGCAAATGAGTTATCAATATTTGGTTTAGGTTTAAAAGGAAATACATAACCAATTAAAGATTTAGACATTTAGAAATTTTTATCAACACAAAGTTTACTAAAGGCCTTTAATAATTAGTTTATTTGAAATATTATTTAAGTTTATTTTTTTCATCGTGAGTATCTTTTTCTATATTGTTAGAGTATTTTCGCTTTACATATATAATTTTAGGATTTTTAATCGAATTTTAAAAAGACATTTCGAATTTATAAAATTCATCATCAACAACTTTTACAGCAATAATTTTTTTAGATTCCTATAAAAGAATTGGTGTGTATTATTTTTCAGTTTAAATTTATTCATTATCCTAATATTTTAATTCTACTAATACATTTACTACTTTATCTTCATCTATATCTACTGCATGGAATACTCTGTATTTATTTTTTATTAAAAAATAATATATAAATAATAAAAAATAGATGTAAATAAATATATTATATTTATATATATATATATATATATATATATATATATATATATATATATATATATATATATATATATATATATATATCATACTTTTATTCTACAGCTAAAACATAAAAATGTCTCAAAGCTTATAAATGATATTTATTATCAGAAGGATTATTAGGAAAATATGGATATATAGAAATAAGCAATGCAGCAATAGACATATCATCTCTATTAAATGAGTAATTTCCATGTCCCAAAGTTAAGAATCCAATAGCCATATTAATAGCCATATTGAACCCATAATGGAAAGTACCTGAATCTTGAAATTTTTTTCTTATTATTCTTGCCATTTTAATCGATTAGATATCACAAGTACCAGCGTTTACTAAACTAAAAGAAAGTATAGAAACTGAAAAAAGAACAAAAAGACTATATTAATCAATTAAAGATTTTGCTGAAGGATCATTTACAAGATCACATTTGGAAGTTTTGAGTTTTCTGAGTTTTTAAATTTCACCCATTATTGTTTCTACAGCTTTCTTATCTCCAGTACCAGCATATTTTAACCCCATTGCCATAATAGATCCTCCAATAATATTAAGGTAAATACTTGTGATAGTGCTGAAATCTATTTCATATACATTATATATAAGATAATATCTTTAATAGACTTCTTTGAAACTTTTTTCATATATAAACCTAATAATATCAGGTATTTAACCATATATGTATTCTTTAGTATTTCCTATAGAATCCCACATTATAAGGTTTTTGGCCATTACTTTAAGTAGTATATTATTCGGGTTACAATTTTCTATCGTTGAGAAAGAATTCGGAATTGTAATTTTATCACATACATTTTTTTCGTTGGATTTTAAAAAGATCAAACATAAAGCAATTAAAGAACCGGAAGCAGTAACATGTGTATTAACTGAATTTCCTTCTTTTATGCTACTACTTTTATTATCAGAATTAAAATTACTAGATAACATAGAAGAGGGTGGGTTCATTATTTTTCCTCCTTCAATAAATCTAATTAGTCTCTATTCTAATTCCAGGTCTTTTATATTTGTATGAGAAGCGCCTTTTCCTAAATTTATTAAGCCTAAAGAAAATCCTGCGGCTAGAGAATATCCTTCTCGATCTAAGCATTTGTCAGAAACAGGTTTTCGTCCAATTTATGCCAAGGTCATTTCCGTTATTAATCGGTTAGATGATCCTTTATGGATTAAGCCGACCCCTATTAAGGCTGTTGTTTGAACATTTAAAGGAATTTCCACGTCATAAGAAGGAGGGAGTAGGAAAGGAATATGTAAACATAATGTTTTGGAAGTTGAGTCATCTGATTTTCCAATCCTGGAGGCTGCTATACCTAAGAGAATACCTACAGAAGTAGTTTCGTGATTCGGCTTTAAATACTAAAATATGTCAGTGGGGGATAAGCAGTCTAAATATCCAAGAAGACCTAATCCAAGTAAGAAGCCTCCGTGATCGTATTCTACTGTTTCGGGTTTCTGATAAAAAATCCAAGTTTTTAAATTTTCAGCATTCATATTCATAATTTGTTTTGAAAGTTTTAATGAAGTAGCAACTCCGTTATGGAATTCAGGCCATAAGCATATATTCATATCTTTTTCTTCCTTTATGTCTAGTGTTACTTTTACTTCATTTGGCATTACGGCACTTAAATTTAATTTCTGGATTTTTACTATTTCAGTCATATAAGTTGACCAAGAACCAAATGTAAAAGCTCCTTATCCGACTAAACATGAAAGTCTTCTAGTGACAAATTTTCTTAATATATTTTATGATTCTACATCGAATCTATTTTATTTTATTTTTTTTAATTTTTTATTTTTATTTTTTTTATGTACGCTTCTTCACTTATGTCTTCAACGTATTTTTGTTTAATTTATATATCTTTTGTTGTGTCTAGTAAACGAGAAACTTCTTCGAATATTAAATCATTATTTTGTTTGCTTAAGTTTGCACTGTATAGTTTATCTTCTTCGGTATTGTTTTTAGTACCTCTAATTAAATTGTTTATTGTCTATGAGAAATCTACTTTTCGTAAATATACAGGAAGTTCGTTTTTCTTTTGTTTATAAATATTTTAATTCTCATATATATCTTGTCTTTTTATTAATTCGAAACCTTATTAAGGAGTATACTAATTAATAATTTTTTAAAAAAACTAAAAAACTAAAAAATAGATACTTCATATAAAACAGGAGGAAGATTTAATTTAAGAAGCCTTAAGGCTTCTTAAATGGGTGCTTTTAATCCATAACAAAGAGATTATATGAAATTTTAATTAATATTTTTTTATATTAAATAAATAAAGACTAGAATTTCATTATTTTCTTTAAATTATTCTTACATTTGCTTAATTTGTTATTTTTTTTTATCATTTTCATAAAAATTCATTAAAAAGACTTTTTAATGGAAAAGAGGAAATTAATTATTTATCAAATTACCTGGGTAATTGTAAATACTACCTATATTATTTGTATTATTAACTCCTTAAAATTACTATTGATTTTTATTATTTACAAGTAATTCTGAAATATATGTACGACTTTCAGAAAGGCCCAGGTACATCATTTCGAAAATTCGGCAAACTCTTTTTGTATTTTTAAATGCGATAGGCATTTTATATTCTTATTTAATAGTTTAGTTGTTACTTGTGAATAAATAATTAACCCATTTGAAAATATCCGGAATATTTTTTTCAATAAAAAGATTTTCGGAAGGATTTCCTTTTGTTAAATTAATATTTTTTTATTAATGAATTTATATTTGTAATTATTAAAGCTAGATATCAGTTTAAAATCTTATTAAAATTTTAGGATATTCTCTCACATAGTAATCTTAATAGGTCTAACTGAATTCAAAATCAAGATATTTAGAATAACAGTATAAAAAATAGGCTAGGTTTTCTAAATATTCTTTATAAAATTAGCGGATTTTCATATCTTAGTATAGTAAATTTAACATTCTTAAAATTCTTATTCTTTATTCATGGAATTTTTCTAAACTTACATCTATTTTGTTATTAAAAAGTGGATTTTCTTCATGTGTTTCCCTTTTATAATGTATTTTTTTCAATAAAGAAAAAAATATATAGATAATATATTTACTATTTATATAATGGGATTTAAGTTTTTTCAGATGAAAATGTTCTTTATCTCTATTATTATAATAACTATTATTACTGTTATTATTATAATATTTATTGTTATTATTATTAGGGGATATTTTATTACTGTTTATTTACTAAGTTAGGTTAGCTTTTAAATACAAAGCAGTTTTCTTCTTATTTTTTTAAATGATAATTTGACATTAAAAGTTTATTCCAATATATAGATTGGTTTCCTGACTATATATTTTCATTTTAAATATTACCTTATTAAGATTATGGTGATATAAACTATTCTAAAACTGTTTATAAATGAGGTTGTTGTTATTTAATTTTTTTAAAAAGACTTTCTTCTTCCATTTATATAGAATTGCCAAAATTAACATTTTTATTACATAATTTTAATAAATAAACAAAATAATAAACAAAATTTTAGAATTCATCATTTTCATTTTAAATACTATTATTTTTATTAGATTATTAATATTTATTTTCAGCAAGAATAAATCCATTTAAATTCTATTTATTTTTAAATATATTTATAAAATATGTATTTATTTTTTAATAAAAAAAATAATAACAATGCAATTCCTAAAAACATCAGAAAGTATTTTATGATAAAGATCTTATTCTAAAATATTTTATAAGCAATTCATTATAATTGTAATTAGAGGAGATTATATTTAAGGGGATATTTTCATTTTAAGTTTTTCACCATCGTTAAAATGTAAAACCGCACTTCCGTCTTTTTTTATAATTAGATATATTTGTTTATATATATAGTATATATTTTACTTTTAAAATTATTAATAGACTTAATTTGTCTGAAGTTTCCGATAATTATTGCAGGTATAGATATATCGAATCTCATAATACATTTCATAAGTCCATTATGTAATTAAAAAGACCCATTTTTATGAAAACTTATAATCCCTTATTTTAATTTAATTTCATTAGAAAATAAGCATTTAAAATTTGAGTTTTTATCATTTTTTCTTCTCAAAACCTATTATTTTTAAAAAAACATATTTTGAGCATTATTATTATTTTATTTTTTTTAAAATAACTTATTTTTAAAAATCTTAAATTTAAGGTATCGAAACTTCAGTTTAAAATAAATTAACAGGGAAAAAGTCTAAGACATCATTAATAATAACGAAATTTTTCAAGGCATTAATTTAGAAGTTCTAGACTGAATCTACATTTTGCATATTTTCACCTTAATTAACAAAAGAAAGAGAATAAAGTTTTAAATAACAACTAGTGTCAAAAATAAGCATTGCGATAATGAATTCACCATGATTTCCACTTTTTAAAATTGCACATTTTTGCATCATATTTACTTTTATGCTTTCTTCGAAAAATATTTCACTTACAATATAAGAAGTATTCATTTCAGGTAAAAAATCACCTTCTGAAAAATGTCCAAGGGAATAAAAAATTCCATTTAAATTTAATTTTGTTGAATCCTTTTCAAAAGCTTCTAAATTGGCTCTAATTAAATGAATAGCATGTCGTTATTAAATTCTATTATAGCTTATTAATATTGGTAAATCTTTACAAACATAAACTATCTTTTCATATGAATCGAGCCATGGTATTATTGAATCGTCACTTCTTTTTAATATTCCTAATACTTTTAACGAACTTGATGGATGATTGTTTATAGTTACATATGAATATAATTAATTTTCTTTATTATTGTTGTTTGCGTTATTATTTTAAAATATGTTTTCTTCATACATTGAGTATTTACTTTTATTATAATTCCTGTTTATCAATAATATATCTATTTATTTATTTAAAATATTTGTTATATTTTTAAAATTTTTTAAACCATTAAATTTTATCTCTTTTTTTATTTAAAATTAAAATATTAACCCTTCTGTCATAGGATATACTGCTTATATATCTTGCTCTAAGGGTAAATGAAAGTTTGATCCTCCTTAGGACATTATCATTATGCCTTTTTCTTATAATTAGCATGTACAGTTTGAACGGGAGTTTTTATGTATGCTTTTTTTGTTATTTTATTCATTAAAATTTATCTTATTGTATTTTAAATCTTAAGCTAAGTCATTTATATCTGTAAAATAACATTTTACTTTATTATCTGTATCCTTTTTAAATATTTATGTTATTTTTATTATTTTTTATTGATTTTTTTTTTAATATTAAATAAATTGTTCATATTGTTTTTTATATTTTTAGTAATTTTTGCTTTAAAAAATTAATATAAAAAAGGCCTTTATACATTTTTTCTTGAATTATTTTTAAATGGATTGAGTTTTTTTTTTAAAAAATACAGAAAATTAATATGTATTTTATTTTTATAATATTGATAGATTTATAAAAAAATTACTTATAAACGATTATTATCTTATGTATCTTTTTATATTGTATCTGTTGCAAAAGGATTTTTATATATTCGTTATGGTGAAGTTTATATCATATGCTTTTTTGATTTATTTTACTTTTTTAATTATATTAAATAAATATTTCTTTTTCTTTTAATTTTCAAAAAAATAAAATAATTGAATATTTTAATTAAATCGAATTATATAAAAGATGTTATTTTAAAATTATAAAATCAAAAAGATTTATAAATATTTATAATTTTAAATGACTTTAATGATAAATAGTTTTCAGAAAAATAAATAATTCTGTTTTTTTAATTATTATAGTATTATAATATAATTTTTTGTTAAATAAATTATTTTGTAATGTTTTATTTATATTTATATGATTTAACTGAACGTTTTTATTTTATGAATTAATATTACTATTTTTAATTAAAATAGTATATAATAAATTCATAGCTATATATATATATATTTATAATTATATATATATTAGTTTATATTTTATTTTCGTAATAACTTCGTATAGCATTTTTTTTTTTATAAAATATTAAATAATTTTTATTTTATTGTGTGTATTTCTTTTAAGTAAATCAATTATAACTTATATAATTTTTAAATTTTGTTAATAAAGTAAATAAGCATTTTATTAATTAAAAAAAAAAAATTGAATATTTAGAATGCTATAAAATAAATAAAAAAATATAATATTTATATATTAAAAATATATTATTTTTAATATAAATATATGTATATATTTTTTTTTAATGTTTAAATAAATTAAATACTAAAATTATTACAGATCTTTTTATTTTTTTATTTTTTTAATTCTTAAATATCATTTAAGCAAGAATTAAAAAATAATAAAAAAAAAGTATTAAAAAAAAAAAAAAAAAAAAAAATAAAATACATATAAAAATGATTTTTTTTCATTTAGTTTTTCTTTTTATAATACAATCATTAGAAATTTTTTTATTTGCATGCCATTTTTCAGGTTTATTAATAAAGAAAAGCATAACCTAATTTTTAAATCTAATATATTAGGTTTTATTTTCAGCATTTCCTTTCAAAATATACCTGATAGCCCTATTTTTAAAGAACCATAAAGCAAATTATTAAAAGGCTAATTTGATTTATTTGGCAAGCAAATTATCCTTAGAAGGATACAAAAAAAGTAAATTCCTAAAGTTTTTATGTCCAGAAATAGTGGGGAGAATTTCAGATAAATAAGACTTAGATTCAGAATAAAGGTATTCATTATTTTAAAAATAGTTTTATAAAATAATTTATTTATATTCTTCTTACATAAAGCATTTTATGGCTTATTTAGCTATATATCGGCAAATATTCTTTTCGTAGTTTTTATTTCTGGTTCTTTAGGAAACATATTATTATTTTTATTGAATTTATTCTGTTTCTGATTATTAAATAATATCTTGTTGAATGTTTTTTTATTAAACATGTTAGAAACTTTCAAATATTATTAAATTATTACTATTTTCAAAATGTGATTCTGAAAAAAGAGGAGCATTTTAAAAGAAATCTTCGCATTATTAATTAATAATTTATTAATTATTATTATTATAATTACAATTATAGTCATAATTAGAATTTAAATTAAGGAAATCTAAAGAATAGTCTTTTGTTAAAAAAGGTGAATTTTAAGGAAATTACTATTCAGATTCTTCATTATTGATTAAGTTACTCATTATATGAGGGGAGGTAAATTTATTTTGTTATTAAAGTAAAAATGGGGTTATTTCAGAAAAATTTTGTTGTTTTTAAACACCAAATAAATTAGTGTGAGTTTTTTTGTGTTTGAGAAAACTGTTGTTTTTTTGAGATTTTAGTGGATAATAGGTTTATTTCTATTTTTTCTCTATTTAATTTTAATTTTAAAAAGGAAGGTGAAAATTCTTTGGTTTAATTCTTCTTTTTATTTTTTTTTAATAGCTTTGTTATTAGTATTTTTTTTTTTCAAAGGTTTGTTTTTTTTTTTTAATTTTTTGAAAAAAAATTTTAACTTTATATTAAATTTATTATAATTTTCTTATTATGTTTTAAATACACTTTTTTGATTAAAATCTCTTTTTATTTTTTTTTTATTAATAATTATTGTGTTTAATTTTTTTTTTTAAAAAAAAAAAAAATCCTCATTACTTTTTGTTAATCTTTCTACTTCTCAAATTATCTATTACATAATCTAATAAATTTTGTTTCTATATTCTTTTACATATTGAATTAATATAAAAAAATAAAAAATGATATTTGTTTATTTATTAATAAATAAATAAATATAAAAATAAATTTTAATAATTATTATATCGATATATTTTATATTAAAAAAAATTATTTTAATTTAAATTTTATTTTTTTATTTTATAAGTTTATTTGAAATACAGAACAAAAAATGCAAAAATTATAACAATAAAAAAAGAATTAAATTAATAAATCTATAATTTAAATGTATTACTGTAAGAAGTAAAAATTATCAGCATATAATTTATAAAAAAAAAAATTATATATAGCTATAATATATTAATTCCATAGTTAAAATTATATATATTATAAATATATTATTATGGAAAAAATTAAAAAAATATATTGAAAATATATAAAATGATTTATCTCAGAAAAATTTATATTTAAAAGTATATAAAGATATAAATGTATAAATAAAATATTTATTTAATAATATAAAATTTTCTAATATTGTAATATATTAAAAAAAAAATATAAATAAAAATAAATTAATATATATATATAAATATATATAATTTTATATATATATTTTTTATAAAAAAAACTTTTTTTAAGTAAATTATGTTGTTTAATCTTTATTACATATATTTTTAAAATATTTAATTATTATTAAATTAAAATTAATATATATAATTTTTATATTAATTTTTAAAATATAAATTTTTATTTTAATAAAAAAATATTTTAATATTTATATAAATTAAATTTTCATTATATAGTTATATAAATATATAATTATATAATTTAATTTTTCATTAATTATAAATAGAAATTTAATTTTATCATCTATCATGCTAACATTGCTAATTAATCATCAATATTATCATTTTGTTATTTATTTTATATATTTTATTAATTTTCTTAAACTTTATTATTATTTACATTAGCTTTAGGTATATTTTCTACTTAGAATTTAATTAACTCAGCTTCCATTTAATTAATATCATTTTAAATTTCTTAATCTCCTTCATCTCCTACATATTATTAATAAAGCTCATTAAACTTTTAGTTATTTATTTCTAATTCTTTTAAATTTTCTCCAGCTTCCTAAATTGCATCAATATCAATAGATTTATTAATATCTTTCATTAATTAGCTTGCATTTTTAAGAGTTTCAGCAAATTATTTTTAGTCAAAAGTTTATTTTAATTACATAATTGTTTTATTAATAATATGATCTTACTAAAGTATATTATCTAAATAATTATCGTAAAGTTTTTTTCTTTATAGTGCATATTTAGCTCTTATTTATTATTTTTATTTTAAAAATTCTTTAGCTTATTCTTATGCTTGTTACATATTTTGCTCTATTTATTTTTGACGTTCGAACAAATTATCTTTTACTTTTTTTAAATCTATTACTGCACGATCTTCTTCGGACATTTAATCCATTTTTTTGTATGTAACCACCTCCTTATTAAATTATTAGCTTTTCTATTTTTATTCTTGTTGTGAAACCTGATGTTCTGAAGCAAAACAATTAGATAATAAACTTCCCATTATTTTTTTAATAAATTTTATATATATTGGTTCTTATTTATTTTTTTCAATAAAATTTTTTTATTGAAAGTAATTTTTATATGAAAAATAAAAATAAATATTATTATGTTTATTTTATTTAATATTTTTACCTTTAAATTTATTTTTAGCAAATATCTTTGCATATAGTTATATTAATATATAATAATAAATATATTAGTTTTAAAAGAATATATTTATTAATACATAAAATATTATTAATAAATTAATATAATATCAATTAATTTAAAATTATTTTTCAAAAAAAATATTAAAATTATAATAATAAATAAAAAAATTATTATATAAAATGAAAAAAACATAATAAATATAAAATTAATCATTTAGTAGTGATTCAGAAGATGAAGATCCTAGATTAGCTTATAAAAAGGCATTAAATTCTTAACAAAATATATAAAAAATACCTTAATAAGCTGAACTTGTTTCAAAAACAATGACAAAAAATATGTTTGAATAAAGAGGACGTAAAACATAAAAATTATAAACTACTTATTTCATTTTTTTATAAAAAAAAGTTGAGTTTACTGAAGATGATTTTTAAAAGATGACATCTCATTCATAAAAAAATATCTAAAAAAAGCCTGTAAATAAAATAAAAAAATGAATATATAATAAAATTATTAATATTATATTCTAATTTAAAAAAATAATAAAAATAAAATACATAATAACGAAAAAAATTAATAATAAATAATCATATAAAAAAATAAAGGGCGGATATATAGCTGGAGGTGCAGAAGCCAATATAGAAGAATTAAAAAAAGAATTATAATCTTGTATATAAAAAAAAGATATAAAAACCGTATCAATAGTGTTATCTTATATATTAGAAAAAAATCTTAACCAAACAGAAAAATTTTAATATTCAATAATGAGACTTTAATATTTATTAGAACTTAATTAATACTAAGACTGTGCTTTAAGTTGCGAGAAATATCTAAATGAACTTTCTTAGAGTTAAAAAGATAAATAAACATAATAATATGAAATTAATATACGTTTATTATTATCAAAAGTAAGAAAATTAAAAAATATTAATTTATAAAAAATAGTCCAAATCAAATTTAGGTGAAATATGGAGTGGATATTTAGAATATCTTCGAGCAGAAGGATTTTGTTAGTAGTTAATTTAATAAAAGTAATAATAAATAAATAAAGGAAAAGGAAAAATTAGTGAAAACGATATAAATTGGAACGAAACTGATAATGATTTACTTCTTAAAGAATTATAGAATACAGAATTGCATTTTAAAGCAAAGTTAAATTAAGATAAAAATGCTATTAATTTCACCTTTTCTAATGGATTTTCGAATACTGGGTGCTTAGGTTTAGAATAAATTACTTAGTGTAAAATATTACCGATTCCTTAATTTAAAAACAGATAAGTTTTAAGTATTGCGTGCGGAGATCATCATACTATAGTACTTGTGAAAGCTTTTTCTTTGTAGCATTTATATTAACCAAATTATTAGTAAGTTTCTCCTAATTTTGATTCTTGTTGTGAAGTTTTCGGTTGGGGATAAAATACATGTGGATAAATTACAGGTGATTCTAATTACAATACGTATATGATTTTTTTGTTTTTATTTTTATATATATATTTTTTTTTAAGAATTATTGATAAACCACTTCTTATTGCAGAATTTAGTGGGAAATAAATTTGCTGTGTAGGCGCTTATAAAGCAAGTAGTATTGCAGTGGATATAAATGGAAATGTTTATGAATGGGGGAAATATAAATATAATTAAATTGATAATTCAAATATTGAGATGACTTTCGTTTTAAAAAAAAACATTATTAGTGTTTTTAAGGGAAATAGTTTCTATGTGGCTTAGGATAATAAAAATTAAGGTATTCTTATAATTTAGATTAAATTTATAATATAATTGTATAAATATATAAAAAAGCTTATTTGTGGGGGAATTTAAAAAATATATAAGTGAAAAAAGATAAATACGATTAAATAAATATTGATAAGATTTAAAGTATTTCGGCTGGAAGTGATCATATTATTGTTTCAGATTTGGAAGGCAATGTATTTTTTTTTGTATTAATAAGAATTAATATTTTCTATTTAGGTATTTGGAATGGGTGATAATTCAAAAGGTTAACTTTCTTTAAGTTAAAATGTATAGTTTTCTAAATAATTCTAATAATTAAATTAGTTAAAAGGATATAATATTTAAAAAGTATAAGCTTATTAAAATTTATCAATGTTCATATCTAAGTAAGGAGAATTATTATATACAGGTGAATATTAAAGTGGAAGTAAAAAAAAAAATATATAAAATAAAAATAAAAAAAAATAAAAGAAATTACTGAATTTATAAAGGAAGCAGAATTCTAAGAAGAAAATTTAAAAATTGTAAATATTTCTAATGCTGAAAATATTATTTGTGCAATAACTTAAAATGGATAAACATATGTATGGGAAACTGATATTTCAGTAAAATTTAAAAAACATAAAGATATAAATACTTAATCATTTAGAGGAATTAAAATGGGATAGTAATAAATATATTTATAATATATAAATATATATATATATATATATATATATATATTATATATATAAAAATTATATAATGTATATATTTATTATATAAATATTAAATAGAGGATTTTCTATATTTACTAAAAGTCTTCCTAATGTAAACATTTGTTCTGTCGAATTAAAAAATAATACAAAATTAGAAACATATTCCCCTATTAATATACATATTTAACTTCGTGATTATAATGGACCTTGGGGATTAAAAGTTATTTAAATTATAAAAATTTAAAATAAAAAAATTAATTATTTAAATAAAGCCTTTTTATCCAATAAGATTTTAATTAATGCTAACAGATAATAATAATATTAGTAAATAGAATTAAGAGAAAATTGCTTAATAATTTAGTCAATTAACTTAATCAAAATATAATCAAGATAAAGTTTATATAGATGAAATTAATGGAGATAATCTTTTATAATTTTCAATTAAATAGAATTAAAATGATTTATCGATATATGAATTATAAATATAATGTGAAAATTCAGGAAAATATTTCCTTTCAATACTTCTAAATGAAGAACTTTTACCTAATATGCCTATTGTGTTAAATATTTTAACTTCAGCTTAAGAAAAAAATAATAAAGAAGTACAAGCTTAAGATGAATAGAAGAAAATTAATGAATAATTAGAAAAATAAAAAAAGATGAAGAAAGAAAATAAAGAATTGAATAATTATTATAGGAAGAACTTAGAAATAAAGAATAATCTGAAAAAAAAAAAAAAGAAACAGATGAAAGGGCTTAAGAAGCTTATTAAAAATATTTGAAAGATTAATAAGATAAAAAAGCTAAAGAAGATGAAGAAAGAAAAAGAAGAACGGAAATATAAACAGGTGGAGGATTTAATTTAGATAAACTTTAGTAAATTTAATAATAATAGGAAGTTTAGAAATATACATAGAAAAAAAATAGTTTATAGTTGTAAAAATAAAATAGCAAGGATAGTCAATAAAATTTACTGAATTAATATAATAAAATCCTATCATATAAAAATAAATTTAATAAGGATAACAGTAAATTAAAAGACCTAATATTACTAAACCAGGTACAGGAGTTGCTTAGAAAAAATGACTGGATTTTGTTTATTTTTAAATATAGATAATATATATATATATATATATATATATATATATATATATATTAAATATCTATTTATTTATTTAATTTTGTTTTTTTTGTTAAATTTTACTCTATTAAATTTATAATATAATTATTATATTTTATTTTATTATCAAAAAATTATATAAATAATTATTAAAATTATAAAATTTAATTTATTAATTTTTTTTTAAATTTATATATTTATAATATTTTAAATATAATTTGATATTTTTTCATATATGCAAATTATTTAATTTAGTTTTATTTGTAATTTTTTAGTTATTTGAATAATTTTATTTATATAATTAAAGTTATTATTTATAAACGTTTTAATTTTAAAGATTAACAAAGAATTATTTAAATATATTTATTTGATTTATATTTATTTACTGCCACAAAATTATTTGGATAAAAAGCAAATTAATTAAAAATAAAATAAAATGTTTGAACGTCCAAAAAAAACAAAAAAGTTAATTTAAAATTTAGATGTACATTTCAAAAAAAAAAATCGATTGTTTTATAAATTTTAATATAAATATACATTATAATTTAAAAAAAGGATGCTATTTAATTTTTTAATTTAGAAAAAAAATAAAGAACCAAATCTTAAATTTAAGCCTTATTATAATTAATAAAAAGAGTTCCATTTTTCCATAAATATACAGAATATGGATCGGAAAAAGTACAAGAATAATGTTTAATAAATATGACATGTGAAATATTTAATGAAGAATAAGAAATATTTGCTTAAGGTTAAAATTAATATTTTTTTTTCTTATTTAAAAAAAAAATATATTAGGATCTGTTGGTGATAAATTTTATTTAATAGTAGAAGGAATGGTAGGAGTTTATATATAAATTCGATACGAAGGTTAAAAAGAAGACATAACTTAATAAAAATGTGTAAAAATATTAGAAAGTGGAGAAAGCTTTGGAGAATTATCATTAATTTATAATTAACCAAGACTAGCTACAATTCGAACTTTAGAAAAAACTTACTTAGCAGTGCTTTCAAAGTAAAATTTCAAAGAAATATTAAGAGAAAAGGAGAAAACTTAATTATTAAAAGAAATATCTTATTTCAGTAAATTACCTTTTTTTGAATCTTAGAATTTTTAGTTAATTCGAGATATTTATTTAAATGTGTTTAAGTTAACATTATAAAAAAATTAAATAATTTTTTCATAAGGATATTAAAGTGATGCTGTTTATATTGTTAAATCAGGAGAATTTGTTGTAAAAATATATATTATTTTATTTTAAATCATAAAAATAAGACTTTTTAATTATTTACAAATCAATCTAATGAAAATGATATATTAATTCAAGAAGTTTAAGTATAAAATTTTTTTTATAATAAAAATAATCTAAAATAAGAATAAAAATAAATGAAAGTATAAAAAAATATGATATAACATAATTAATAATAAAATTATAAAAATAAAAAAAGATTGGCCTTTTAGGTTGTAATTAAATGTTCGGAGAAGAAGATATTTTAAATAATACTAACAGAACTTATAGTGTAAAATGCAACTCTTTTTTAGGCGAATTATTAATGATAAAAAGAGATTAGTTTTTAAATAAAATCATGATTCACGCATCTACAAATACTTATATAAGAGAAATGAGTTAAAATAAATACAAAGTAATGAAAATGAGAATTAAGAATATAGATGGATAATTAAATTAATATTAATAATATATATTTAGAAATAGAAAAAAAAATCAATTACAAAATACAATAGACATTAATTAAAATGTGACATACTTATCAAAAAAAACATTAGAAAATTAAAATAAAATATAAGAAAAAATTTAAAGAAAAGCTTAAAAAACAAAATCTTATTTTGATTTTAATCAATAAAAAATTGAATAACAAAAATCTTCATAAGAATATTCAGATTCTAATCAATAAATATAATCTTTAAGTAGTTTTTCCCCTATAAAAACTACTAGAAGTAGTTATTATTAGTAAAGAAAAACTAGTTAAATTAATAGATAAAATAATAAAAATTAGACATTCGATAATATAGCAATAAATAAAGTTCCTCGTATTGATTTGGTTTTAGAAAGCCCTGTCTCTCCGAAATCAGGATTGAACTAATTATCTAAAGTTTAATCTCCAACTTAGGTTTTAATTAATTTAAAGCATGACATTTTCTAATAATATAAACGGGATTAAAATTTATTTAATAGAATTTTCGATTCAATTGAAAATCCGAATTTAAAGAAATAAGAGCTTATAAATAAAATTAGGATATTGAAAAAAAGTAATAAAAATATGAATTATTTGGAATAAAAAAATAATTCCAAAATAAGTCATATATTGTAAGATTTAAATAGAAAAAAATTATTAAAATTAAAAACTAGAAAAATAGTAATAATGAGTTAAATTTGAAAAAAATATATTTCTTTTCTAATATTAATATTAACGATAAATTTAAAATCAATAGTAATGTTTAAACACCTTAAATTAAAAATGATAACTTTTAAGATTTTAATGATAGTTAATTTATGAATCCTGATTAATAATAATAAAATAATTAACAAGGAGATTTTATTTAAAATTTAAAATAATTGTAGTATAATAATGGGAATGATTTAAAATTTGATTTCGTTTCTAATTTAGGTTAGTATAGAAATACTTTTACGGATAATAACTTTAAATAAAAAAATGTTATTTCCAATAAAGAACAAGATAGTGCTATAATTTGTAAATCGAAAAATTATTCTTTTTATAATAATAATTGTAATTATAAATTAAATAAAAGGAGAAATACAACAGTCTTAAATAAATGCTCAAGTTCATAAGATTTTTTTAATAAAAGTAATTAATAAAAATAAATATTTATTATTGGAAATAATATTATTTAAAATTAATAATTAAATAAATTATAGAATAGTAAACAATTTCAAATTAATTAATAGTTAATTTAAAATTAGATTTAGTAATAATCTAAATTCATATAATAATTTTAAAATAAAAAATGATTTTTCATTATTATTTTCTAAGAAAAAAACTAAATATTAATTAAAAAAAATGTTTCATAAAATAAAAATATTATGAATTTATTTTTGAACGAATTTGCTTAAAAATAAAAAATTCTTATATATTTAATAATTAATAACTTAAAAATTTACATATAATAATATTAATTTTATATAATATTTAAAAATACATTTAGTTTTAATAATTAATATAATTTTATCTTTATATTATGTAATTAATTTATATAATTATTTAATTAATTCAAAGTATATAATATGTAAAAAAAATATTTTTATTTTGATAAGACTAATTATAAAAATTATATTTTAAAACTAATAATTTAAGTTAGTAAAAATTTAATTATACAATTTTTTTTATTTATTATATAATATATGATTTTTTTAAATCAAATTTATTATATCTCTATTTTTGATCTTTAAATGCTTATTAATTTATTATTAGTTTATTTATTTTTTATTAATTTTATTTTTTTCTTTATGAACGTATAATATCAAATTATTCAACTAAATATTAATACCACTTTTTTTTATAATATAAATAATGGCAACAAATTAAATAATTTTATTTTGTACATATTAATATGGAAGTTACTATTTTTTAATTTCTTCATAAAAAGGTTATGGATCTATGAAATAAATTTCATCAAAATATTTTGAGTTTAATTTTACACATTAGGAAGTAAGAATAAAGAATTGCTTTTTTATAATATTTATAAACATTATTTTATTGATTTTTAAGGTATAATTACTTCATAAGGATCATTTGTGTTTTCTTTCGGTTTTGAAATATCAGAAGTTTCAGATTTTTTAAATTCTATTTGAATTTCTTGGATTACATCATTATTGTTATTAATATTATTATTTATGTTATTATTTATATTAAATTAATTATTAGTATTAATATTGCTATTTTTAATATTATTTGTGTTATTATTAATACAATTATTTATACCATTATTTATATAATTATTTATATTATTAAAATTTACATTATTAAAATATTTATTATTATTGCTTTGATTTTATTTATTTCCCATTTATTTCTAATATTTTTAATTAATTATATTTTTAGTAAATGAACTAATTTATTTCTGAATTTCTTCAGTATTTTTATGTTACATATTTAAGCTTTTATATATTTGATTATTAAAATATTATTTCTAAGGGGTTTTAAAATTACTAAACATTATAATCCCATTATCAACTTTATTTGAATTTAATATTATCTAATTTGATTCGTTAAATTAATTTATTTACATGTTTGTATTTTGAGTATTTTCTTTTTCAGAAGATATTATATTAAACAAATCATCACAACATAAATTTGTCCGTAATTTATTATTGTTGTTTGATAATAATTCTCCATATAGCTAAATTAGTTATCCTGTCTAGGATTTATTCTTAATATCTGTATAAAACCCTTTATTTTTTTAAAAAATATTAATTATTTCATATATAGTTTATAATATTATATTTTTATAAGCTTTATTTTTAACTTTCTAACTGTTTAGATGAATTAATATTTATTTATGATAACTCTATATATTGTTAGTGTTCTTAACATAATTAGTTAATTTTATTTTCCAACCTAATATTTTCTTATAAAAGCTTATCTTTTTATTCTATTATTTGAGTATATTAAATTTAAAATTATTTTAATTCATTTTAAATAGACTAATTTTAATCCATTTATACTTTTTATTATTCTATATTTTTTATAAAAAATATTTATTACATTTTAATTATCGTTTAAGGTTTTGTTCATTTTTATAAGATACTTTTTCTTTTTATTCTATTTCCGTAACTTTTTCTAATAATTCTTTTTTATTATTTTGTATTTCTTTCTCTAAATCTTTTATTTATAATAATAACAATTCATTTGAAACAAATGGCCTATTTTCTTCACGTATATTAGTCTTTATATGATAAAAATATATAATAATTATTTAGATTTTTAAAAATAAATACAATATCTATTAATCTTTGATTACTTTATTATTATTAATTAATTAATTTTTAATTTTATTGAATTAATTAATCATTTTTACGTTCTAATATTGTGCTTTCATTTATAATTTCTACATTTTAATTATTTACATAATGTAGTCTTTTCTTTAACAAAAAATTAAATAAAGAAATAAATAAATAAAAATGTAAAAAAAATATATTAATTAATTTTTTTTTAAATACTTAATATTCTTCTAAGCATTATTCTTTAAATTCAATTTATTTTTATAAATTGTCTTGTAAATGCATTTAATTTTCCATTTCTTATATAAATTAAAATCTTTATTCTTATAATTTATCTAATAAAAGAACTTTTTTTATATTAAAATAATATGTTCTTATTTTCAATAAAAATAAAATTAAAATTAATACATCCTAAATCTAGAAATATTTTTAATTATTATTCTTTATTTACAATCTCATTTACTGCTAACTCAAATTCAACTATTATAAAATTTAATATTTTTAAGTTAAACTTTTTTTATATTTCTTTCTTTACCTTATAATTCCTCTTCACTTACTCCATTTTATAATCTTTGTGTAATAAAAGAAATTTAAGAGGCCGTTTACAAAGTATTTAAAAATCTTCTAATTTCTATTTCTTCTTCTTCTAATTTATTTAAACTTTTATTAAGTTCGTTTTCCATATTTTTTGAAATAAATAGAAAAATATTAAGTATTTATAAATTTTAATATCAATTTATTAATAAAATATTTAATAAAAATATTTTAATTTGAAATTTAAAAATTTATAAAAGGCACTATTAAAAATAAATAAAATTTTTATTATTTTATTAGTTTATAATTTTAAATAAAAAAAAAAAGAAATAAAAAAAAAATATTTTTATTGATAATTTATAAAAATTATTTTATTATATATATATATTCATATATATATTCATTATATATAATAAATACAAAAAATGAATTAATTACAACTTACTAACAAAAGAATAGTATCTCCATACACTTATTTTAAAAATTTCAATAAAATGGCTGAAGAAACTAAATTTTATGAAAAAAGTGAAAATGCAAGATTTTTTTTAACTGATTATAAATTTTATTCTTTTAATAAAATAAAAATACCAAAATTTATGGAAGAATAAAAAAAAAAATAGTTAGAAAATAAAGATACAGATTTAAGAAGATAATCAATTATAGATTACGAAGAAACTCAAATACAAAAAGAGAATGGATGAATTAGTAAAAATAATGCGAGAAAACCAAGTAAAAGAACAAAATTTAGTCTTTAGATATAAAACAGTAATACCATAAATAATAAGTAATAGTGATTAAATCGATTTTATAGATAATTAGTAAAAAAAATATTTTTCAATTTCAAGATAGTAAATGTCAGAAATAAATAAACAATAAAAAAGCATAGAAAAACATTAAAATTTACTCAAATAAAAAAAAAAAATTACATATAAAAGAATAAATAGTATAGGAAATAACAATAATTATCTTTTGATTGAAAATAAATACAAAATGAACTTGATTAACATAAATTATGCAATAAACTATGAGTAAGTAAATTTTAGATAGGAAAAATGTTACTTTAAGGAAGATACTAAGTTCTATTCCTATTAAAAAGTTGGAAAATATACTAGAAAAGAAAAAGGTTGGCTTTTAAGAACTATTATAAGACAAAGAAAATATTAAGTTTTTTTCAAAATTAAACAAACAAATTAAACCTAAATCTATGCTTCATCATTAATATTAAAACTTGTCTCCATATTATGATTAATATGATCATTTTTTTGATGAAATAGAAAAGAAAAAAGAACGGAAATATTGCTTTTTAAATACTGAAAGTGATTTTAAATAAACATAATAGAATCACTCTATTAATACTTTAGTAGGATAGAAAGATTTAAATTAAACTAATTCTATTAGTATAGGAGGAGATAATTAATAAAAAAAATTTCAAAAACTTAGTTAACCAAAATTAAATAGTTAACATAATTAAAATAATAATATTAATAATTCTCCTGAATAGAAAATTTTTATGAAAAATTCTTAATAGATAACAAAATATATTCAAAAAAAATATAATTATAATAATAAAAAAAATAATGATGCTTATTCGGAAAAAAAAAATAACTTTTTAAAAACATATTCAGTTTAAAATAATTTAAAGAATCTTTTTAGTGAACAAAGTGAAAGTTAATCTTTTAAAAAATAGTATACGGAAATAAGCGAAACAAATAATAAGGCTAGAAATTTAACTAACTCTTAGAATAAATTTTATGAATATGATAAACATTTTAATAATACGTATATTAAAAATAAAGGTATTTAACTTTAATTGAGTAAAGTCGTTTAAGATTAAAATGATTAGTTTCAAAATAAAATAAAATAATATATTTAAGATATTTATTGATTTGTTTTTGTATATGAATTTATATAAATTTTTGTTATTTATTGTTTTTAAAAAATAGAATATATAAATAGATAAGATTTATTTGATTACTTATTATTATATTAAAATTCAATTCAAATTATCATTTTTTAAAAATTTTATTATTTTTATTATATATAAATAATATAATAAAATAAATATTATATAAAATTATAATATTTATTTTCTTATTTAAATTTTTTAAAAAAAACTTATAAATTTAAAAAAATATTTAAATTATATATTATAAAAAAATAGAAATCAATGTAATCTATTTTTAATTATGATGATGGTGGAAACATTTCAAAAGTATACAATAATTTTCAGGCTAAATAAATACAAATTTAATTATAAAGTTAAAAAAATTCAATTGCAAATAGTGAATTATCATTACCGACTCCATAATAAAAATAATCAATAAAAATAAAATAAATTGTTTTAAATATATAAAATTTGCTCAATTAATAATAAAACATAAACTGCAATAATTATTTTTAATAAGTAAATTCTTTATAATAACAAAAAAAGAAATTTAAAGATGCTTAATTTTATCCAAAAAGTTCATCTTTAGGTTAAAAATTTCAAAAAAGAAAAGACATTGAATGGAAAAGAATAGTTTATAAAAATAAAAATATATTTTCAGAAAAATTAGATTTTAAATTTTAAAAAGGATAATTAGATAATGATCATTTTATTTTTGCTATCTCTTGCCTTTTTTAAAGATAAAATTTAATTAAAAGACTTTTTTAATTACCATATTATTTGTCCTACGGAATACATTGTATATGGATTAATATAAATGGATAATGGAATCCTATTTTAATAGGTTTATAATATATATATATACATTATATGTATATAATTTTTTTACAGATGATTTTTTACCATATTTAAAGGATAATTAAAATTATTTATTCTGTTATTAAAATAATCATTTTTGGCCAAGTTTACTAGAAAAAGCTTATGCTAAAGCCTATGGTAGCTACCAAAATATTGAAAAAGGAAAATGGTATAAAACATTAACAGATTTAACTGGGTCTGGGTATTATTTATATTAATAAAATGAAAAAAATTAAATTTAAGAAAAATTCTAATATGAATTATGGGAAAATATTTAAAAAGCTATAACTAATTAGTAAATTATTTGTTGTACAAGTAATAGTAATGAATAGGGTTTAGTATAAGGTAGAAACTATTAAATTATTGATATGAGATATATAAGTTTAAACAATAATAGAAAATTAAAATTTATTTTATTAAGAAATATATTTGAGTAGTATTTTTTTAATTTTTATAGAAGTAATATTTTTTTTTTTAGATAGTCTTAATGGATTCCTTTAAAAGATAGTGTTTTGTTTTAAAATGAAGTATAAAGTTAACTTCCTAAAGGATAATATGTTGGAGACTTTTGGATTGAATATGATAATATGATAAAATATTTCAATGAATTCTGTGTTTCTTTAATTCAAGATGAATATTTTTATAATAGTTTATAAATTAATTTAGAAAATAATGGAAATATAAACTAAAAAATAATAAAATTATAAATAAATAATTAAACTAAAGCATATATACAAATTCATTAAATAGACGAGAGAATTAATTAAGAAGAATATAAATATTCTTTTTTAATGTATTTATAGCTAAAATTATTAATAATAATAAAAATATTAAATATATTAATTCTTTATGTTCAGATTAAAGAAACTTTGTAGTAGAGCATAATTTTGAAGTCGGTTAATATATTATTTTTATTGAAGTTATTTGGCTTTAAAATATTGCGAGACAATTTGTTATAAGTAAGGTTAAAAGAATAAAATATATAAAAAACAATAAAAATCAATTAATATTTAACTAATAATATTAAATAAAATAATATAATATAATATAATATAATTAAAAAATAAAATAAAACAAAAAAATATAATAAATAAAAAATAAAATATAAAATATAATAAAATAAAATAAAACTAACATAATAAATTAAAATAAAATATAATATAATACTTACATATATTAAAAGGTTCTTATAGCGATTAACATTTAACTCTCAATGAATTGTAAGATAATTAAAATCTAATAGAAATTTAAAAACACATTTTAAGAAGTTTTACTTTAGAAACTCAATAACTATAATTATTAAAGCATAAATAAGGATAAATTTGTAGAGTATAAATTGCTGGGTCTTATTTTTATTTTGTTTAAAATATAAGTTAGACATCTTTAATAAAATAAAAAATAACCATAAATTAAGTAGATGGCTTTGATTTTGTTGAAGATTATGGAATAAGTAAAAAAAAGTATAAAATAACTTAAAATTTTTTTAAATTATAAAAAAATAGAATAGAATTAAATCCATTTCTATTTATTACCAAAAGAAGAAATAATTTTTTTATTTAGATTAAATTTCACACAAAATAATAAAGAAAAAGTAATTTCTATAGCCTTTGATAATGGAAAATGTGATAGTATAAAAAAGAATAAAAATTTATAAAGCGATAGAAATGTTTTAAAATAACTAAATTATTTGAGTATAATTTAATCTGTAATAATAAAAAAAAATGATGAAAATAATTGCATTAATAAAGATTTATAAATTCAAAATAATTTAGATAATAGCAAAAAATAAACTATGCAAAGATTAAGTTCTAGAAATTCTATTAATAGCAAAATTAGTTAATTCGATAGATAACCTATTATTAATAATATTAATGAAATTTAAAATTAGCAATAAAATTTAACATCTTAATAATAGTTTATTAAAGTTACTGCTATTTCTAATTCTCACAATGATTAAGAACTAAATAATTTTTAAGTTTAGATTATATAAGAATATAAATGTATACATTTATTTACATGTATGATTAATATTATGTTTATTTTGAATATTTTAGTATGCTCTGCATTTAAAAAATGTCATTTCTTAGATATTTTTGGGTAATGCATTTTTATTTTCAATATTACTAGTAATGAAAAATAAGATATAGTTTAAGAAAATATGTTTAAAGTTTCTACTATTATTATATCTTTTAGTTTAATACTAGATTATATATGGGTTAGGGATCTTTATTTTCTTGGAAAATATATAAATTAAATTTAAGAATTTGATATTTTTTAATTTAATGAATTATATATATAGAAGATAATTTATTTTTCAGTAATTTCAATTATTTTAATAAAAGTAAATTTATTTTATAATATTAATAAACATCTTATAATTAGAAAAAATTAAATTAAAAAAAAGGTTATTTATTTGATACTTTTGTTAAGATTTATTTTTAATCATGATGAAGAAATTAAATAATATAAAAAGATATATTAAGTAATTTTATATTATATTATTTTTTCTTTTCTTTTTTTTATTATTCTATATTTTTTTAATAGATTGCTTTTCTGATAAATAAATGAATTATTAAGATTTCTTTTCTATTTAAAAAAATTATAATAATCATTTTTTTTTTTTTTATTTTTTTTTCTAACTTTTATATAAGATAAGTAAATTTTGTGTATAAAATGAGTTTAAAAAATATATTTTACAACATTAATATATAAATTAAATTTAATATATAATATTAAAAAAAAGTATATTAAGTTATTTTAATTTACAAATTTTTTAATATATTTAAAACTTTCAGCGAGGATCGTCCCTTGAAAAACTTTTTTGCCAAAATACTTAAGATCTTCTACAGAGAAAATGATCATATCTAAGAGCTTTGCATTCTTTGTCAACTCCATCTGTAACGCAATATCTGAAATTTTAATGCTTTTTAAAACAGTCGCTTAATAAAACACATTCCATTAACATTTCTTTATCTTCTGTACATGCTTTTTTGTATTTTTCTTTACTAGGGCCAATTAATGAATCTACTGTTTCAAAAAATAAATTTATTTTATCCATTTATTTTTTTGTTTTATTATTTTATTTTGGATGGAATTTTTAAAATAATAAAAATATAAGTAAAATTAAAAGGAACAAAATAAAAAAAAAGTAATATATATTTACTTTTGTAAAAAACTATAATTAATTATTATTTATTATAATGCATATGTAAATAATTTTTTTTTAAATATTAAAGAAATTATAAATTGTTATTTTTCTAATTAAATAAATTATTAAATATGTAAATAAAATGATAAAATAAATATATTACACATATATAATAATATATAGTTATATTATATAAAACTAATTGAAAATATTTTAAAATAAACAATAGAATTTACAAAATGTAATATAAATTAAATTCAATAGCAAAATGAAAAATTTAAATTGTCTTAAAATGAATTTTAAATAATGTTTATAAATTCAAAAATAAATTAAGGTTTTTTTTATACAGCCATCCTAAATTCACTAAAGCAAATTTAAAAATTATCTTTTTAATTTACAAGTGTAAAAAATTCTTCGATTTCTTAATTTAAATTATCAAAATCTTTCGAATAAACTACAGCCTAAATAAGATTTCTTAGTTCATTTTTATCTAAGAAACCATTATTATCTAAATCATATTATTAAAATATTAATTAAAGTTTTTCTTCGAGATTTTCACCATTTAAAATTGATAAATAACAAATAAAATCTCTAAAATCTATAAAGCCTGTATTTATAAAATCTAAAAAATTAATTATATTAGATGCAATTAAATTATTTATGCCATTTAATTCACTAATTTTTATAACTTCTTAGTGTGTAAATTAACATAAATTTTTATTTTGAACTCTTATTATAGATAATTCTTTAAATTAATTATATATATTATTAATTCTATTTTTATCAATGCTTGTTTTCATCATTAATTCTTATATTATTTAATATTTGTTATCCATTATTATTATCGGAAGGTCGTCAAATATACGATTTTAGCATAGCTTTTTATGCATTGATAAGTCAAAAAGTAATAAGTTTAATTAAATTGAGTAAGCTTTATTTTATTATAATTCACTTTTTATTGCATTTTCAAATATTATTTAATTTAAGGTCTGCTTGTATCCGTTTTCTTTTATTAAAAATACTTCTAATGGACTTATTTTATAGGTTCTTTCTATCTATATTTTTTTTTAATACTAAAATTATATTTATTTTTATTTTTTTAATAACTTAAATAAGAGCTTCTAAAAGTGTATTATTTGTTGAAATTGTCAGTTTCTTATTTATACCATCAGGATAACTTTTATAAAAGCAATTTAAAGATAGTTTTTATTGTTTTTAAGGTTTTTAAACCATATATTATTTAATAATATCTTCTTTTTATATAAGATTTTCTATTATTTAATTTTTAAATATTTTTTTAATAAATAAGAAATATTATATAATTTATATTTACATATTATATCATTAAATTAATTCTAAATTTAAGTACAAAAATTAACATCAAAAGGTAATTAAGAGACATTTTTTAAGATAATAAAAGAATTTTAAAAAAATCTTAATAAACATTTATTAAATTTTATATTTCGGCTTCTAAAATAACGAAATCGACTTTATTTTTTAAAATATCTTTAAATAAATAATCTAAAGCTTGTTAAATTTTTACAAAAGTGCTAATATCAAGTATATCAATAGCGTTTTTTTCATATAATTTTAAGTCATACTATTTAAACTTGTATAAATTTTAAATAAGGATATTTAAACATTCAAAAGCTCCTTTCATTATATGAATTTGGTATGTTTGTTCATTAAACTAATAAACAATTTACATTATAACATCCTGTTACTTAAATTCGTAAAGCTAATCTATCAAAACTCTTTTAAAATCAATAAATTTAGCATATGTTTCTGGAAAAGAGAGCAGTTATTTAATGATTGAGAGACATTTTTCCTTTATTAAAGACTGCTTTTCATATAAATGCTTAAGTAATTCATTTAGAAAAATGTCGTTTTTGCAAATTTATACATGATATCCATTTTAAATGAGTTAGGAAATAATATCTAGTACTAATAAATGAATGTCTAGTGGGTATTATTACATATTCGTAAATATTTCTTTACAAAATAAAAGAAGGCCGTTTTCTATTAAAAACTGTGTCTAGAGAAAGTTTATTTTAGTGATTTCTAAAATACACTAAAGGCATATTTTTTTTATCCTATTAGAATTGTGTTGGAAAAGAATTTATATTAAATTTAGCCATATAAAGTAATTTTGTTCGTTTATGCTTATATTTGGAAGTAAAAAAGTTAATGAGTTAATACAGTTGTAGGCTATATTTTCCTCTGTAGGAATATTTATGAGAATTTGGTTTACTATATTAGTCATTTCGGAAAGTATATTAATATCTTAATATACAGCTTATGTTTAGGGCATCGAATAGCCTGAAAGGATACTCAAAGTCCATGAATTATATTCGATTTGCGAATAATTTTCGACAATATAAATTAAATTTTAGCCTAAAATATTATGTAGATTTTAAAGAATTAATTATTTTCGGATTTCGGGATTTCCTTTAGCCAGAAAACCTAAAAGAAGTACTGCTTAGCCTTAAATTTCAATTATGTCGTTATTTTGGTATAATTGGATTAAATTCGGGACTATTCCTTTGTTGAAAATTAAATACTAATAATAGGTTGATGATTAACCATATTTAGAATTATGAGGAGTATTAGCTATTCTCGAACCTAAGGAAATTAAGGTTAGTATTTGAAGAGTCTTACATATTATATGCGGATTAGAATCATTTTAAAGTAAGAAAAAAGATATTCTTTTAATTAAAGAAAGCTCAACTATATCAAAAATTTTTATTAATAAATTCTATATGGTAAATCTTTCATGAGGAGTATTGAATATTCTTACTAATTCGAGTGTCTTTTTCAAAAATTCTAAGGCTTCGATTTGTTTTTAAACGTCTTCGGAAGAATGAATACATTCGATTATATTTGAAAATGATGTTTCGTATATATATTCACATTCTTTAAGGAATTAAAGTTTAGTTATGTTTTATTTTTGTTGTTAATATGGAAAGTTTTATTCATAGGCGAAATAATTTTCACCTTAATTAAATGTTTACTCTAGTTATTAGAATTATGTGGTGCTTTTTGTTAAACATTCTAAGGCAGAGAAATGAATATATTAACGTTATTCTAATAGAGAATTTTGTAATTCTTTTTGAGGAGATTTTTAGGATATGTAATGAGTTATATATTGCAAAAATTCTTCCCATTGGATTTTTCCGTCTTTGTTATTGTCTATTTATTATATTAATTAATTTATGTATTCATGCGATACTTGATTATCTTTTATTTTTATTTTTTATTTATTAAAACATTATTTTACTTGAATACTTTTTTATGATGTCTGCTATTTCATTTTATGATAATTCCCCAGAATGATCAGTATCAATAATTGTAAATAATTTTCTTATTTCATTTATTTATTCTTATGTAAATATATTTTTGTTTAATGAATCTTAATCTAAATCTTAATTGTTTTACATTTTTATTTTTAATTAGTTTTTTATTATTAAATTTATTTATTTGATATTTTTTAACTATAATATAATTTTATATGTATATTTTAATATAATAAAATATATAAAAAAATAATGTATATATATATATATAAAATTTTTTATATTTATTTTTATATATATTTATATATATATAAATATTTTTATCTTTATTTTATATATATATTTATATTTATATATTTTATCAAAACTCTTATAAAAATTAACTAATATTTTTTTTTTAAGTTTATTTATTTATTTTTCTTTTCCTTTATTTAATACAAAATTTTTTTAAAATTTATGTTTACATATATAAATATTAAAATATATTATATTTAGTTAAATTTTTCTTTATTTTTTTTTACAATTATATTTAACTTTTAATATAAAAATATTTTTTAAATAAAAAACAAAATATTTTTATTTTATGTACTAGTTCTCTTATAATATATTAAAATGTACAGTTTTTTATATAAATTTAATTTTAAATATATAATTTTTACTTTAATTTTATTTATTTAATATCTTATAATACAATTTATTTTTATTTATTTTAAAATTTTACATAAAATTTTGAATTTTTATATATTATAAGTATTAAATGTTTAATTTTTTATATTAATAATTATAAATTTATAAATTTTATTTTTAAAATTAAGATATATATATAAACTTTTTAATAATATATTAAATATAATAAGTTTAAATTTTAAAATTAATTCACTATTTTCATAAAATATTAAATTATATTAACAATTATAAATAATAAAAACTTGTATATATATATATATATATATATATTATAAAAATATTAACATTGAATTTATAGATTATTTACAATTTTAAGCTTTCTTATTAATACCTAAATAAAATAAATTTATTATTTTAATTTTTAAAAATTCTTTTATCAAAAATAAATTCGATATATATTTTTAATTATTAGAAATTAAATTATATTTATTATAATTTTATTATAAATATGTAAATAATTAATATATAAAATTAAACAAAATTACATTCAATTAAACTTTCGCATAATATTATACAATATAAAATTATGAAATAACTTTATAATAATTTTGATTAATTTTAATATTTATTATTTAAAATATAATTAATTCTAAAATTAATTTTATTTAAAATTATATATTTTAATATTTTTACCTTTTTTTAATCTTTTATATTATTTATTCATTTTAAATAAATATATTATAATAATTATTATTATAAATAATTTTTAAATAAAATAAATAATATTATCATCTTTTTTAGTTTATTTTTTTAGTGCCGAGAAAAAAATTTCAAAATAAATGTATATTTTATATTTAAAAAATAATATATAAAAATTCATATTAAATAAAAATATTAATATTTAATAAATTAGATGCATTCATTATATTAAAAAAAAAGCAATTAAAATAAAAAAAAAATTAAAAAAAGAAAAAAAAAATTAACAATAGCGTAAATACAAAAAAAAAAAAACATAAAAAATGGAAGATCAAAACGAAAATATACCAGATGAATAAAAACAAGAAGATTAATCGTAAAATTAGCCATTATAATAAGAACGTGATTATTTATAAAAAATATATATTATGAATTTTTTATAAAAATAAAATAAAAATTATTTAATAAAAAAAATTCAGAATAAATTTTAAATGATGAAGATAGACCATTGAAAAGTCAAAAATTTGAAATTCCAGAATTTCCAGAAGGTTAGGAACTCCCATAAACTGATTAAATACAAAAAAAAATACCCACAAAACCCGTATTAAAAAAAAAGCCTTAAACAACAACCAAAAAGCAAGCACAAGAGCGGCCCATAGACCCTGAAAAAGTAATAAATTTAGACGAAATTCCAGTTGGGGGTGGAGCAAACAAAACCAATTAATTTTTAGATGAATACCCACCAGGGTATGTTAATCCATTAGATGAAAAACCTGTAGGGTTAGGTGGATAAAATACGGGAAACATGTTAAGTGAATACCCTGAAGGGATGGACCCATCATAAATTTAATAAGTAGAATAAAAAGATGAAGGGCCATTATAAAAAAGAATCCAAAGTAAAATTGTAAAAACAAGGATGAACGCATTTTAAGAATTAGCGAAAACATTAGAAGAAAATAAAAACGATTCAAGCCTTTTTAATGAATATGAAAGTGAATGGGATAAGAAATTAAATGATATAAACCCTGGAGTATAGGAATAGGTTTGTTTAGCATTAAAAAATTGGATTATTTTTCACCCTAATTAGAGGAATTTCAAAATAATGGATTGTGTGTAAATTTTAAGAAGTTTAATAGAGAAAGTTTTAGGAAGTTAAAAACCATAAACTTAAGGAATTTCAAAAGAATTATTATGTTTATTATATGAAAAATGTAATGATTAGAATGAATTTTATGAATGTTTAAATAATTGTTGTAATAATAAAAACCCAAAAGTGGCTGTTTCGGCTATTTAAGCAATTATTGAATTGTTAAATAATTATGGGGCTAAAAAGTTAGATTATATGAAACCTTTTTTCCCGGAAATTGAAAAATAAAGTCTCTCTACTAATAGTACAATAAGAAACGAATGTATGAATTTTTATAAAAATTGTATGAAGTGGCTAGGGGAAACTATAGTTAATAATTATACGAAAAATCTCAAAAAACTTTAATTAGATGAATTAGCTAAATTTTATACAGAATGGGATAAAACTCCTATGGTACCTATTAGGGCTTCTGAAGAAGAGAAATAATGTATGCAATATTTTTTATTTTATATATACAATTTTTTAAAAAATAAATAAATAATTAGAAGCATAAAATAAATAAGAATAAGGTGGTAATTAGGATGTTGATTTATATGAAATAGCGGATGCAGTAGATATTTTTAATAAATATAATGAAAAATGGTGCGATAAAGTATTAGGTTTGACTAAATGGTAAGAGAAGAAAGAAATGCTAGATGAAATTATTGGAGCAGCGAGTTAACCGAAATGTACTGGTATTGGATTTTAACCTGTTGTTAGTATGATAAAAAGGCTTTTAGGGGATAGCAATTCTAATGTGCAGATTTGTGCGATTAAATTATCAGGATATTTATGTAAAAGTGTTAGAAAAAGTTTTTAAGGGGCAGCAAAGTAACTTTTTGTATAAGTTATGGGGAAATTTAGAGATAAAAAAACTCTAATTATTGAAGAAACGAAAGTTGCAATTGAAAATTTTTGGTTTGCTATTTCTTTAGAAGATGTAATTGAGGAGATAAAAGAAGGTTTGTAAGATAAAGCACCTCCTATGAAAATGCAAACTATGATTGTGGTAGACAAATATTTAGAATGTAGGTTATAGTTAATTAAGGGTAGATAATCATTCAAAAGCGTATGCTTGCCTGTTTTTAAAAAATTGTTTGACGATTCAAATTAAGAAGTAAGAGAATAGGCTTTAAAATTAATAGGAAAATTCAATAAATTTAAAGATTTTTTTAATAACGAGGAAATAAGTGATATAAAAAAATACATAATAATATATATATATATATATATATATATATATATATATATATATACAAATTTATATATATTTATATATATATTACTTATAAATTATTTTTTATTAATTTTAAGATAATCTTACTTCTGGATTAAATGATTAAAAGAAATAAAAAATCCAGTAAGGTACTATTGAAAGTTAAGAAAGTAATACCAGTAATAATTAATCAACTTTAAAAACACTAAATAAAACTGCTGTTACAGCTTCAACAGTAAAACTTATTAAGCCTCAAGATTTAGAAGAACCATCAAGTTAATAATAATAATAATCATAAATTTAAATAGTTTAAAAAAAACAAGATAATAATAATACATAAAATATCATTCCTTAAGAAATTTACGAAGATTTATCTACTTAAATTCCATCTTATGAAGAATCTGAGTAAAATTTAAGAGATTTAGGATTAAATGAAGGAGTATTTACAGCTTTAAATGGGAATAAAATTCCTGAAAAGACAGATGCATTTTAAAATTTATATTCAAATAATGATTTTTTTAATAATAATTTATTATAAATTCTAGTTTATTTAGATAAGAATTTATTTAAATCAAGTATTTTGACAATCTAAAAGGAAATTTTATCTTTATTAGAATAAGCTGTATAGTAAGGAAATTACACAAAATAATGCTTTTTTGTAATTTCTGATTTTATAATAAGATATATAGGAGAAACTAAATTTAACCCACAAATAGTATTTCTTATAGAAAAATCATGTGAAAAAATACTACCTAAATATGTTTTATAAAGATTAATAAGACTACTAACTGTGGATTCGAAAAAATCACCTCCACCGAAAGCCACTTAAGAACTATGTAGTGTTATATGCAAAATTATAGATGGAGCAAGTTTGAAGTATGTACCTTTAGGCGATATTTTAGTATTTGGTAAGGAAAATATAAAAAATACTAATATAAATATTAAAACTGGGGGGTAGGAGATTCTTAAGAAATTATATGTACATATGGGAAATGATGCCTTGATGAATTAACTTAAAGATATTCCTCCAAATATTATAGGAACTTTATAAAAGGAATGTATTAAGCTTACTGTTTTATCAGATTTTGAGAAAAATTAAATTTAAATGCAATTATAAGGAATTAAAAAAGATTTTGTTAAAAATAATAATGATTAATAATAATAGTAATCCTAAATGTCAAAAAATGATATATAAAAAGAAGTAGAAAAACTTTATAAAAAATTAAAAGATCCTTAATGGAATACGAGAAAAGAAGGTTTAGAACAACTTGAGAAATTAATTAATAAAAATAATAATAAAATACAATTAAATGGACTCTAAGAACTTATTAATATTTTAAAAGATAGACTCTAGGAATCTAATAAAGGTTTATAACGTCAGGCGATTACTTTCGTAGGAAAATTCGCTGAGGCAGTTGGAAAAGATATAAAAATTAATTCAAAGCCTTTAATAGGGCAATTGATATCAAATCTAAGTAATAAAGAACCTTTGACTAGAAAAGAAGTTATTATGGCATTAGATAAATTCGGTAGAGTATGTGGTAATGATATGGTAATTAATACTATGGTAAATTATTTAAATGAGGATAATTAAGAATAGAGAAGTGGAATTATTGAATGGATACTTAAATATCCTGAAGATTTTAAAAATGCGGAATTAAATAGCTTTGTGTAGCCAATATTATTATGTTTATCAGATAGGAATAAGGATGTAAGAAATCTTAGTGAATAATTATTGGAAAAAACAATAAGTATTATATCAGTAAACCCGTTTTTGAGTTAAATTAAAGATATGAAATAAGCTGTTATTTAAACTATTTAGCCAGTACTTGATAAATATATTTAATAAGAAGATCATTCAATTGATTCTTAGTATATAAAAAATAATAATAAAATTATATATATTTGTGTATATTTTATATTAAAATAGATAAAAAGGACAAAATAAATTAAATAATAAATAACAATAATAATAACAATAATAATAATAATAATAATAAAGTAAATATGGAAATCAAAAATTAAATCCAAATCTTTAATAAACATTTGTTCCTCATAAAAATGTATCTTTATCTAGAAATTCTACTTAAAGTAATTTAAAAGCAGATGAACAAGATAAAACACCATAAAAATATAAAAATTAAGCAAAAATAAATAATTATATTAATAACAATAATAATAATAAAGATAATAATAATAATAATAATAATAATAATAATAATAATAATAATAATAATAATAATTTAGATTAGATGCCTATTACAACTTCTTTTATATAAAATAATAATAGTATTACTAATACAGATGATAATAATGAATAATAATATAAATAATAATCTATTACAAATGGATATAATATTAAAAATTAAACACTTTCTTTAATTGATCCAAATTGTAAACCTGTTTTTGATTCACATATGATTTTCCCTTTATCTACTTCTATATCTTTTTTAAAATAAAAAAGATTATTAAGTCAATATTCTTTAAAATACAACATTTAAAATCCTTCACAGGATTCTTTTATGTTCACAGAAAATGAAATCCGTGTTTTCTTTCCAACCCATATATCATCGTTAATGCTTTCTTTTGATTATAGAAACATAATATAAGTTTCTTAATAAATAACAGCTGCATGCATAGACCAAATATAGCAAGTAAGTCTCAAAGATCTAAGTGACTTACTATTCTAATGGTGTTTTATGAGAATCTGGGGAACTTTTAACTCATAAGTAGTATTAAGTATACTTGATATGGTAAGAGGAGTACTCTAGGCTCTTATTCAATAAGGAGGAAATTTAAGTGATTTAGAAATTGGGCTTGTTAATGCATGTGTAAGAGAAGCTTTGATAAATTTGTAAGAAAACGGAAGCGTATTCTAATAAATGTATATGATAATAAAAAACTAAAATAGTTTAATATAAAACAACGATAAAATCATTCATTTTTGGGTAAATTAAATTACATTAAATATTTAAGAAATTCACAAAATGTATTTTATTTCAGGAACTATTAATCAGTGTAATTTATAAAATGAGTTTTAAATAAAACTTTTTAAACTTTTTTAAACTTCGTTAGTGAATGATCTTAATAATAACTCATTAGAATATTTAAGTACTTTATAAGAAGTTAATTCTTCTCATTTATATATTAATTTATTTTTGTAAACTTTCGGTAAAGAAAAATTAATAAAAACCGGTTTTAAAGAAAATACACTTGATTTTATTTCAATGTCTAAAAATAATAATAATACTAATAATATTGGAAATAACAATATTAATAATAATTAAATTAATAAAATTAATAGTAATAATAATAATAATAATAATAATAATAATAATAATAATAATAATAATAATAATAATTTAAACGTTTTATATAATATTAATTCTAATCCTATTAATAACATCGTTTAAAATACTACAAATAATGCTAATAATTAATTAAATTAATAGCCTTCTTAATTAAATTTAGTTTAACATAATGCTAAAGCTTAATAATAAATATTGTAATAGCCTATTGCTAAAGATTTAAGCCCTGAAGAACAATTACAAAGTTAATTAAAATAATTAAAAAATGAATCTTATAGTAATGATAAAGTAGATATTTTAATATATTTGAATAATTTAATATAAGAAGGATAAAATATTAGCTTATTAGAAAATAATAAAATTGAAATAGTGGATATGATAATATTATAATTAAGATTTTGTTTAGATAATAAAAAAACTGTTAGTTAATAATATTTACAGTATTTTTTAAATGTTATGTATAAAATGTTTAATATTAAAAGTTTTGCAAAAAAATGTGATTATTAATAACTTAAAATATTCACTGAAGAAATCTTATAAAGACTTTTATATGAAGATGAGAATTAAAATAAAGAAGAAAATAATACTAATAATTAAGTTCCGGCTTCTACTATTATAAAACTTATAAATTCCACTATGTTAAGGATTCTTGAAAATTCTAATCCGGAAGATATATATAAAATATTATTAGAGTTACTCATTAAATATAGAAAGTAATATAATTATGCTAAAATACTTGGGTTAATAATTAAATGTATACTTAAAGTTACTAAAGGATTACAAGATTTTATTAATTTAATTAATTTATGTGAATTAATAACTTATTTTCATATGTATATCACAGAGTTTTTAGTACCTAATCCATAACTTAGTGATGATATTGGTGTTAAAACTATAAAAACTATTATAAAAGAAATTTGTAAAATTAAAGGAGAAAATATTTGGTAACCATATAATTAATCTATTTAAAATGAACTATATTCTTAAGATTAATATATAGGAGAGTAATTAAAATATAAAAAAAAACATATATATCTAATTATATAATGATCTAAATATAAATATATATATATATATATATAAATATATATATATATATATATATTTATAAATATAAATTAAATTATTTTTTATATTTGCATTCTATATTATATTTTAAATATTTTCTTTTTTTATAATAGATGGATTTCTATTGTTCTTAAACCGAATTCAAATAATAGTGCTGTTTTGTCGGTAAGGGAATAAATGATAGATAAAAAGATATCTTCTCATAATCTTTAAAATAATTAATAAGACTCATTAATTGATTTTTAGATTAAAAAATGTTTAGATTCTATTAAATAAAATGAAAATTTAGATAATGGAATTTCATAACTTTATTATATTTTATAAAAGAATAAAAGTATTTTTTATATTTATAATTTAATTTATTTTATATTTTTTATAGATATAAATATTTAAAATTATTTATCTGATAATAATAAAGGATTTGATGAATTTATAATAAATAGCTTACAAAAATATGAATAAGAAGAATAATAAAAAATAAATAATCGTAATTATATTAATAATTTAAAATGATAATTAAAAAAAAAAAAAAAATCTTATTTATTAACTTTCTTTTTAAAATTAAATATTGCTTTGTAAAAATACTTTTAATTTTCTTTTTTAATAAATATTTATATATTATTATATATATATATATATATATATATATATATATAATTTAAATAAATAGAAAGTGAATTTAATTAATAATAATTAGGAAATTTAAATTAATAATCATAAACATAAACAATTGTAATATAAATAAATATTAATAATTAATTATTTATATTTTTTAATCTAAATATAAAAGAAACCTTAAATTTAAGAGAAAAATAATTAAATTAATAATAATAAATAATCAGATATAGAAAATTTTTATAATAAAATAAATTTGATTAAATATAGAATATCTAAAAAAGAGACTGATGATTTAGAAAATATGTAATAAATTAATTAATAATAAAATTAAATTGAGAAAAAGAATTCTTCGATTACAACTGAAGATTTAATGCTTAAAGTTTCTGATTTAAAAAATAAGATGAATTTAGCAATTTAATAAACTAAACCTATAAATTAAGAAGAGTAAGATAATTTTAATAATAATAATAAAAATTTGTGAAATAAAATATTCTTTATTTATTTGAAATTTTTAAAAAATAAAAATTTATTTTAATAATTAAAGAAATCACGAAAATTTAATTTTTTTAAACAAAAAGACTTTTAATTTTATGTTAATCTTTTTATTATACTAAAAAAAAAAAAGTAAATATTTTATATTTATTTTTATACATATATACATGTTTTTAAAAAACAAATTTTATTTTTAAATATATTATCAATTTTAATAAAAATATATATCAAATAATATATGAAAAATTATTAAAATTAAATAAATATATATTTTAATATAATCTTTTTATTTTATTTAAAATTATTAAAAAAATTAAGATTATTTAATTTCAATTTATATATAAAATGCAAAAACAAATATATAAAAAAGCCATAGAAGGCTTTTCTATATTATTTTTAATGAAAGTTTTTTCCAGAGTAATTGATTTTTTACTAAATATTCTCGTAATAAGAGAATTAGATCCATAAATATATGGTTTTAAAATATATTCATATAAAATAAATAAAATATAAAAAAAGGTTTAACTATTCATTATATGATAATAACTAATGTAGTATTATTTTATTCAAAAAACTGTTTAAAAAATTCTTATTAAAAACGGGGTATTAAAAACATAAATAATATACTTTTTGCTTCTGCATAAAATCTAGTATTTTTACAATTATAATGAAAAAATAAAATAAATCCGAATTTTTTTAATAAAATATATAATTTATAAACTAAAAAAAAGATGATTTTTGGTCTTTATTTTACAATAATAATTGGATTCATTACTTTATGTTTTTGGAATTACTATTATACTTAATATGATAGTAATTTTATATATGGAGCTATTTTTTGCGTTTTGGGATGTATTTTTGATTGTATGTGTGAACCGTTATTAAGTAAATATATATTGAATTTCGAATATTCTATAAGTGCGAAATCTGAAGCTTTTTCTTTTTTCGGAAAAACACTTATATTATTTTTTTTAACTAAATTTAATTTTTTTCATACATTAATTAATTTTGGGATTTCTTAAATGGTTTAAGGTTTCATTATGTTGTTTTTTTGTATATATTTTACGTAAAAAAATTATGTTATTATTATATTAAAAATGAATAAAAAGCGGTGAAAATATGCATTTGTTTCCTAAAAAGTTAGAAGGTCAGAACTATTATATAATCCCAGAAATGAAAGAAATGGGATATTAATTTACTCTTTTATCTTTCTTTAGAATGATTTCCTAAGAACTTGAAAAATTCGTGCTTATATTATTAAATAAATAAACCTAAACCTAAATAAATTCAGAATATTTAATTGTATCAAATATAGGATCTATTGTTCCTAGATATATATATGCTCCTACAGAAGATATTTGTTTTAATTTATTTTCAAAACTTTCCAATAAACATATCGAAGAAGATAATAATGAAAAAGATTATTCAAAACTTAACTTAAATAATAACAGTGCTACTACTATTAATCGTAAAATTAATGTAGATAATGTTAATTAATAATCTTTTTAATAATAATATTTTATTTTGTAAACTATAATTAAACTTATTAATGTTTTGGGTTTATTTTTTGTATTTTTTGGAGTCCCGTATGCCTCAGCTTTTCTATAACTTATGTATGGTAATAAATGGAATTATGTTTCTTGTATATAGGCTTTATAATATTTTTGTGTAAAGTTTAAATATATTTTAATTTTTTTTTTATTGTTGTATTTTATTTTTTTAAAAAAACAGATTTATGAATGGTTTATGGGAATAAATGGATTATTAGAAGCGTTTGTATAGGGAAGTATTCAATAAAAAGAATTATAAATGTATAAATTTCTTGTTTTAATTTCAACATGTTTTTATATTATTTGTTCTTTTAATTTAATTCAATTTGGTTCTAAAGGAATTATTATTTCAAGTATTATTAGTATGAGTGTTAGAATTTGCATTTCTTCTTATTATGTATTGAATAAAATATTTTTAAATAATAAGAAATAATTTAGACTTTTTCTTATTTCAACTTTACCTGATTTTAAATTAATCTTTGGATTCTTTTTCAGTATTTTTTTAAGTAATTTTTTTGTTTTTAGATAATTCTAAAACTAGGCTTTTAAATAAATTGTTTTAGGAGCAGGTTGAAATATTTATATAAATAATATAATAAATCATTGTTTAAATTTAGGTATAGCTGGGTTATTAGCATTATATGCATTTAAATTATATGGAAATTAAATAAAAGAAATATTGAAAAATAGAAATGAAAATAATTAATGAAAATAAAATGATTTTATTTAATTTTTTTTTTTTTTTTAATTAAATAATCTTTTTTTTCTTATATTACTTTTTTTTTTTAATAAAAATAAAAATAAAAAATGAAACAAAAAAATAAACTTTCATTTGATTTATTATTTTAAAAACTTTCATTTTAAATAAAATAACAAACAGATTAAAATTTAAAACAAAATAAAACATTAAAAAAAATGTTTTCCAAAAATCTAACCCCAATACAAAATAATATCTAATAAATAGAAAATTTAAAAAAACAATTAAACATATCAGAATATATAAAAGACAATTAATAAAAAAATATAAAAGAAATTATTGAGGATATCTAAACAGAAAAAAAAGAACTATATCATTTAAGATAAATTAATAAATAATGCTAATAATTGCCTCACTAATAAATAATTACACAAAAAAATTTTATTAATTAAAAATAACAAATTATGACTTAAATATAATAATAATCATAAAGAAATTCCCCAAAATTGAGTTAAAATAATTTATTTTCAACAACTTTATAAAGAAAAAAATATGCATAAAGTTTACATTTATAAAAGAATAGTTTTGAGAGAAATTAAAACTTTTAATTAATGACATAAAAATTGAAAAAATATTGTGATGAATATTAAAATTAATTATTTATTCCAAGACATATTATAAATTTATAACAAAAATAATAAGATAGCTGTTTTTAAAACATTGAAGGTATGAATAAGAATAAAAAGATTTTCGGATTATTGGAAAGTAATTATATTTATGATAAAATTAAATAAGAATTCATACCTATTAATAAGAATAAAAAAAATAAAATATATTATTTATTTTGAATTTTTCGAAAAAAATAATAATTTTAATAATATATGTATTTTTCATTTTTTTTAATCTTTATCTATAATAATTATTGCCTATTTAAAAAAAAAGTTTACAATTTTTTTTTATTTTTACTTTTATATTAAACTTTTTTTTATTTATTTTTAAAAAAATATTTATAATTATTTTTTAAAAAAATATTTATAATAATTTAATAATTAATTAATTAACTAACATAATAGAGTTTTTATAAAAATATAAAAATAATGTCTATAAATTGAGTTTATTCATATAAAATTTATAAGGCAAGAAATTAAACATAAAAATAATTATTTAAAATAAATTAACAAAAAAAATCAAAGTTTAAACCCAGTGTGGATGGCACAAATACCTTAACTCAAATTTTTGTAAGAAACATATTTAAATCCACTTTATTCAATTAAATTAAGCAAACTTTCTTAATCATGAAACTTTTCAATACTTTCTGCCTATAATATAATTTATTTTTATAATAAAATTAAAATAAAAATTATTCTAATAAATATATACTAAATATTAATAAGATTCTCTATCTCCAGCAATAAATTAACCTAAAAATGGTAATAAATTAGAGTTATATTATCTATATATTTCATTTAAAGGAAAACTTTGAACTTTCGAAAATTCTAAAATCATTATTCTTCCTCCTTTTTTTAATACTCTATATGCTTCATTTAAAGCTTAATCAATTCTTGGAACATTTCTAATACCAAAAGCTATAAAAAATAATATGTATATATATATATATATATATATATATATATATATATTTATATTTATATTTTATATTTATAATTATAATTCTTTTTATATTAAAACCTATTGTATATGCATCAAATGTATTATCTTCAAATTATTTTAACTCTTCAGCGTTACCGCATACAAATTCAATTTCTTTTATTTCATATTTTTATTTTTAATTTATTTCAATATATTTTTATACCATTTTAATTTAAGTTTTTTTATTGTGATCTTTTCTTACCAATTTCTAACATACTTTCATTTATATCAAAAACAGTTATTTTCAAATCTATTTTATTTTATAAATATATTTTTTATATATTATTGATAAAATTTAATTTATACTTTTTGATTATGAATAATTTCCTATTTGTTTATGTTTATCAAGTATTTTAAATGCTATGTTTCCTGTTCCTCCTGCAACATCGATAATTTTTGCAGGATATTCTATTATTTAATCTTTTTCTTGAATTCTAGTTAATCTTAATATTCCTAAATCATTTACAAATTCATCTTTCCAACATCTATGGATTCCTAAACTTAAAACATCATTCATTAAATCATATCTATATTAAAAAAAAAAATATTATTTAAATTATTATTATATACATATATATATATATATAACTTATCAGCTACAGAGTGAAATACTTAATTTACCATTCCTTATTTTTCTTCAATTTTAACTTGTTTAAAACCAAAATTTGTTTCCTTAATAAAAGTTTTGTAAATTTATTATTTTTTTTTTTTATTATTAATCTTAACTTTATTTTATTGAGAAAATTTATAGTTTAATCGATTGAATTCTGAAAAGGTTTTTTATATTTATTTTAATTATTTAATCTTTTTTTTTTTTTATGTATATTAATTTATTTAATTATTAAAAATAAATATATTTTTTTTTTTAAACATTATTAATTTTAAATCTTTAAATTCTAATATAAAATAAATATTTTAACTTTAATTTTTTAATTTACAAATTATTATTATATAAAATAACATATATATATTACTAATATTTTATAATTTATTACAAATATTCTTTATACATGTTTTTTATTTATAACAAAAAAAATCATTATATCATTTACATATTAGAAATAATTTTTTAAAAAACTTTATAGAAGAACTTTATTTGTCAAAATTTTAATTTAATTATCAAATAATGTACTATTAAATACATAGTATTTAATAATCAATTATTAAAATAAAAAATAGAAATATATTAAAATATTAATTATAAAAAAACATTAATAAAATGATATCTTTGAATCAATAATTAAAAAATTTAATAAAATCATCAATAAAAGTGGCATTTAATTTTCCTTAAATTCCATTCAAAATAACTCCAACTCCTATATAAAGTGATTACGATTATACATCATCAGTATCTAAAGATTTATTCTAGTAAAACAGAGAACATATGTATAAATATTTTGGTTCTCACAATTAATTATTTCCATCTAATATAGTATAAGAAATTCGCGTTTAATTGTAAAAAAATAATTATATAAAAGATTTAAAAGTAGATACTTAAGGAAATTTAGGCATTATTATAAAAAATGAATATTTAGATAAGGCTTTAAATTAATTACTTCATGATTAAAAGTTGGATTTAGAATTAAACAAAGAAAGAAAATAAGGAATAATATATCCATTTACCCAAATTGCAGAAAAACCTTAATTAGACACATTTAGAGGTGTTAATATGGTTGAAAGTATGGGTCGAATTTTAGAAATTGTAGGATATGATGTAAAAAGAATAGGGCTTGTGTAAAATAGTTAGCCTTTTCATGGAATAATATACTCCTATTTGCATGAATAGTATGCGAATACTGGAAATATAAACGAAGGTCCTATTAATTTGAATAATTTAGCAGGTTATTTATTTAAATAGAAAATTTTTGAGCAAGAATAAATAATAAAATTCGGGAATGAATAATTAAAAAAAGAAATATTGAAAGATATATAGAATTAATTAACAGATGCCGCTATTGGAAATTATAAATAAAGCTATGAAATTTTTAGTAATAAAGAGATTTTTATTGTGAAAGAAAATTAAATTTCTAATAATAATAATAATAATGATGATTTAATGCCTATTTTTAGTTTTTTGAATAAAAATATCAATGTTAGTGATTTTCATGTATCTGGACATTTTAAAGATGAAAAATTGTATGAAAATTTAAAACAAAAATTAAATAAAAGTGATGGGATTTAGTTAAATTTTTATGGACATAATAATTTGTTTGTTAAAATGGAAAATAAATAAAAATTAAATAATTATGTAAAAAAATATTTTTTATTTTTTTTATATTTATTATATAATAACAATATATAAATTTTTAATTAATTTATTTGCATAATATATATATATATATATATATATATATAGGAAGATTTTTATAAATACTTGAAAAATCTAAACCTTTTAAAATATAAGGAAAAATATCCAGATATTATGCCTAATTTAATTGAAGAGCAAAGCGAACTTTTCCTTTTATAATGTACTGGATGGACTAGGTATTTAGATCATAAAAAAGATAAAAAAGTTTCTTATTTGATGAATATTGATGAAATACTTGATTTCATACATACTAAGGACAATGTGGTTAATTAAAGATAAAAAATAATTGAACTTATTGATAGTTATGGAATAAGAGCAGATAATATTAAGAATTTTAAATTCTAATTAGAAGAAGGAAATAATATATAGAGAACTTTTGTTAGATTGTTAATTAGTTTTGTAGATGTATTAGAAGAAAGTATTTAAGAAAAAATATTTAGTTTTTGGTAAAATATTTAGATAGTATTTATGAAATGATTAAGGTTTTTGAAAAAGAAGGAATTTTTAAATATTTGGATAAAAATGAAAAAATAAATTAATAATAATTTTAAAATTAGGCTATTTTGTTATAATGTACTTATTTGATTTTGTAAAAAATCTATTTTGTTTTGGGTATTGTTAATTGATTTTTTTTTTTATTTTAAATCATTTTATTTTAATTTAAATATAAAAAAATAAATATTTAATTTGAATAAAAATAAGTTCATTTATATATATTAATTTATTAAAATAAAAAATAACTTCTATTCTTATAAAATATTAATTAACTTTATATTTTTTATTTTTTTTTAAAGTAAAAAAAAAAAAATGTGGAATTATAAATGGAATAATGAAATATTATTTTAAAAAAGTCGAACAAATGTAAAAAAATAAACTTTATATATTAATTAGATTTTGAGATTATTTTTAGAATTAAAAATTGCATCTCCTTAATATTTATAATTGTAGACCTCAAATACTAAGTAATAAACCATGGATTCCTAACCATTCTTTATCTAAATTAACAAACAAATATTCAAATTAAATACAAAAGAAATAAAATTACGAAAACAATAATTTATTACAAAAATTTATTTAAATAGATAATAATTAACACGGCCCCTTAAATTAAAGAACACTTTTAAAATAAATTGAAAAACATTAAATTAAAAGTTCTACAATTCATTATAGAAGATTATAAGAAAAAGTTATTGATAAAGAGAATTTTGTAAAATTAATAATATTAGTTGTATTTAATTTTTTTCTTTTTAAGAAATTATTATAAAGGATATAAGCATAAAAATCTGAATTAAATTAAGAATAAATGAAAAAATAAAATTAGAAAGTTAATGAATATAAAAAAAATATTAGTAGATCAAGAAAATGTAAAAATAATTATATTGTTAGTTTATATTTTTATTTATAAAAAGAACTTAATGTTGATTATTCTAAATTAGCTTTAAAAGAATTACCTTAAGAAATAATATAAATTTCAAAATAAATAAACAATCAAAGTAACAAAAATTATATAATTTATTTATTGTATTTTTTAAAAAATATAAATAAATATTTAATTAGAGCTAAAATAATAATAGCTAGTTTAAGCAAAACAAAGTGATTAAAAAAGCAAGTCTAGTAAGAAATATATATTTGATTTTAATCTTGAATGAATTTTAAATGTCAATAATCTTAATTTATATTTATATTGTAATTAAATACGATATATTCATAAAACATTCTTAAAAACCATTATAATATATATATATATAAATATATATGTCATCTATTGTATTTTTTAACGATTAAAAATTTAATATAAAATATTAATATTTAATATTGTATTTTTAAAAATTACATCTTCTTCGCCTTTATTAAATGGTTAAAAAAAAAAATTAATGTATTTTTTTATTTTGTAAACTTTAAAAAACACGGACAAGAATTAATTTTTAATAAAACAATATATTTCATTTAATAATTTATTATTTATAAAATAATTGTTTTATTAAAAATTATATTAAATTATATTCTTTGAATGAGTCTATGAATCTTATATTAAATATAAGGCATTTTATATAGGTTAATAATTAAAAATTAAACATCAAAATCATATACATAATTTAAAATGTATATGTAT